CTTCTTTAGCTACTTGCGAGAATGTATGCTGAGAAACTTTTGAATGAACTGGAATAAATTTAGGGAATAATCAGGGCGAAAACTGACATTTCTACCATATTGGATCTTCCCATGCAAGAATATTACCAGGCTCGGCTGGGCTCCATGTCTCAGCCTGTAATCCCAGCACTTCAGGAGGCCAAGACTGGTGGATTGCCTGAGTCCACAGGTTCGAGACCAGCCTGGATAACTTTGCAAGACCTCGTCTCTACAATTAAAAATTTTTTTTAAATAGCCAGGTTTGGTAGCACATGCCTATAGTTCTGACTACTTGGAAGGCTGAGGCAGAACAATCGCCAGAGGCCAGCAGGTCAACGCCGGGGTGACTGTGGGCATGCGCACTGCACTCCAGCCTGGGTGATAGAGTGAGACTCCAACTCAAAAAAAAAAAAAAAAAAGATTACGAGGCTCTGTTTATTCAGGAATTTTTATCTGTCCATTTAAAATGTTTTATTAGTTTCTTCATCTGGGTCTTGCATATTTTTATTAAATTTATTCTTAGGCTAGGCTTGGTAGCTCAGCCTATAATCTCAGCACTTTGGGAGGCCAAGGCAAGTGGATTGCCTGAGTCCCTGGGTTCAAGACCCACCTGGGCAACTTGGCGAAACTTCATCTCTACAATAAATCAAAAATTAGCCAGGCATGGTAGCGCATGCCTGTAGTTCCAGCTCCTTGGAAGGCTGAGGCGGAAGGATCACCTGAGCCCAGCAAGTTGAGGCTGCAGTGGCTGGGAACGTGCCACTGCACTCCAGGTTGGGTGACAGAGTGAGACACCAACTCAAAAAAAAAAAAAAAAAATTTATTCTTAATTACTTTTACATTTTGACTGCTACTGTGAATAGGACCTTCTGCTATGTATAGAAAGGTAACTGGTTTTTTGCCTATTTTCGGTTTGGCCACCTTACTAAACTTTATAACTCCATGTTTAAAACATATTTATCAAAATAATACCTGTGTTTGATTTTTTTAAACTATTGAGAACTTCTAGAAAAGCAGGTCTTCTGACCAGTCTTGCAACCCATGACAATAGTTATTACAATTTCTCTCCTAAATTTCCAACTGATTCTGTTGAAATGTTCCAGGTATGCAATCAACTTATCCGTACATAGTAATAAATTGGTATTTCTTCTTTCATGATGTAGTCCTACTTCCTTTTCTAGTCTATTGCCTTATTACTCCAGAAGAGGGTTGAGTGATATTGTTAGTGGCAGGCCTCTTGGGCTTATTCCTGACTTAAAGAAAACCATCAGTGCTTCCCTGCTATGATGATCGCCAATAGCTTTTGGTGAAGAATTCTCATCAAGTTAACATTTCTATTCCTAGCTTAATAAAAGATTTTTCTTCTTCTTTTAATCAGTATAATTAATTTGGGATTTTATCAGAACCTATTTTGGCTTATTGATTTGTCTTCTAATATATTATATCTTCTAATATTAAATCAGCCCTACTTGATCTCTGTATATTATTGTTTTAGTATACTACTGGATTCTATTTGCTAATACTTTATTTAGGATTCTCTGGCCTATAATGTAAGTGAGATTAACCTATATTTTTCTTTCCTTTTTAATGGCATCTTTGTCAGGTTTTAGAACAGGGGTTATTTTAGCCTTTTGTAATATGCACACATTTAGTTAAATAATTTCAAACCCCAGGAGTCTTTCTCACTACCCTTTCCTTTTTTAAATGGAAACCTAGCTCAACAATTACAGATCCAAAAAATTCACAAGCAGTTCATGCCAAGTCAGAGTATGTCAAGGCATGGAGAAAGCTTATCAGGTAACCAGAAATCTCCATCTCCAGTTAATGAAGAAATGTGTATCAACCAACTAAAGCCCATCACATTCTGGAGATCCAAGAAGAGAAGTGCCCTTAATTGGTAAGAGTAGTAAGCAAAAAGAGAATGAGGGATTACCAGAGCCTATCATCTACTCTTTAAGCCAACAATAAACTCTTTACCAAAATAAAAATCAAGTCTGAGGAATCAAAGGAAAGCCAGCTGAGAAAACAGAAAACACATTTCCAGCCAAATCCTAAACCCCTCAGGATGGTCTGAGCCCCCTGAAGCTAACGCTAATCACATCAGATTTCAAGGCATCTACACTAAGAAAAATACTCCACAGGATGCAAGGCGAATGCCATGTGCCACTTTTCTTGTTTGTGGACCACTCAGACACCTACAAGTTGTGTCATCCACTCTCCTCCTGGATGGACTCAACAAGTAAGAGTATGCTCAGTATTAAAGTATCCTGGGATAGGTAATAACTGAAATGGTATGGAAGGCAGTACGAACCACGTACATCACCAACTCTGAATAGGGGGGCACACAACACGGAAGGAAAGAAGCCTAAACTAGTGTCTGGGTCTTTTAATCAAAGATACCTAGATTTACAGAGTTCTGCTGAACATCAGAAAGTATTGTTCAGAGATATATCCAGGTACTCATAATGAGGAACAGTTTAACAATGTCAATATTATTAATGTTCTTATTAAAGAATTTATAAAATGAAGTCATAGTCCAATTTCTATTATATAGTTTGAGGTTATGTAGTTCCTTTAATAATTTAATTCTACAGATTTACACTGTAAATAATCAGAAGTTTGCTTTGTGTTTAAGTTAGAATGTATTCATATGCCCTAAATATAAAGAGAAAATGATATGGCATTTGATAATATCAAGTATATGGTAATACTATCTTAATCTCAAATAGGCCATAAAAAGTTTTGAAGAAACATATATTTGGGGGGGAGTGGAGTGAACGGAGCTTCCTTAAATGTCTTCTGTACTCCTGTTCAAAGGAGACAGTCAACACTGGTTGGGGGTGGGTGTGAAAGCATCAACAAAATGTTTTATATACAGAGTTGGTTTTAATTCCTTACTTGTAGTCTAGTGTCTATGACAGTCATCCCCTGAGGGATTTCCAGAAACTATCTGAGCAACAGTGCCACGGTTAAGACCTCTGCTGTTTCTAAGAAGTCAAGTGCCTCACAACGTACGCATCACCGATGACACAGGGAACCCCATCTCTTCCCCCACACAAAGTTGTATTTCTACCAGAATAACTTGGTTTTGGCATAGTGCTGTCCAACACAGTAAGCAATAGCCACATGTGGTTACTAACCACTTAAAATGTCCTAGTTGTGATTAAGCAAAAGAATTTTACATTTTAAGAATTAAAATTTCAATAACCACATGTGACTCACTTTTACTGTACTGGGCAGTTTGTTTTTCAAAAAGATGTATGTGTGTACACATACACGTATATGAATCATGACAATACTTCCTAAAAACTTTAAAGTCAGGAAAAGAATTACTTTAAACGAACATACAATTCAAGGTGGAAATTATCAGCTCCAGCGTAGAGTTTCTTTTTTTGAGTTGGAGTCATACTCTGATGCCCAGGTTGGGGTGCAGTGGCACACTCACTGCCACTCCAGTGTCAACCTGCTACACTCTGGCAATCCTTCCACCTCAGCCTTCCAAGTAGCCAGAACTACAGGCACGTGCTACCATGCCCGGCTAATTTTTGATTTATTGTAGAGGCAAGGTCTTGCCAACTTTCCCGGGCTGGTCTTGAATTCATGGGCTTAGGCAATCCACTTGCCTCAGCCTCCCAAAATGCTGGGATTACAGGCTGGGCCACCGAGCCCGGCCCAGTGTAAAGTTTCTTAATTACAGGATACAGACTAGGTTCTCCTTTTGTCTATCCTTGTTTCTTCTTTATATGACTAGGAAGAACAGTCATTTTATTAGTGATCTGTCCATACACTTATGATCAAGGATACAACTTTAAATAAGGTCTTTTGCCTTGATTAAAGTAGCTAATACTAGACAGGCTCAGTGGCTCAGCCTGTAATCCCACGCTTTGGGAAGCTGAGATGAGTGGATTGCCTGAGCCTGCGGGTTCGAGACCCTCCTGGGCAACTTGGCGAGACCTCATCTCTACAATAAATCAAAAAATTAGCCGGGTGTGGTAGCACATGCCTGTAGTTCCAGCTACTTGGAAGGCTGAGGTAGAAGGATCGCTGGAGCCCAGCAGATTGAGGCTGCAGTGGCCGGGAGCAGCCACTGCACTCCAGTCTGGGCGACAGAGTGAGACTCCAACTCAAAAAAAAAAAAAAAAAAGTAGCTAATACTCATCAAGAAAAAAAAATATTCAATCTCTCAAAGTAAATGTGAATTTTAACAGTCTTAAAATTAAGCAGGGTCTCAGACTTAACTGACAGTTATATCATCAATAGATTTTTCAAACTATTATCATACAAAAGAACACCACTGTAATTTTAAAAACATTCCTAAGTATTCTTTCTTCCTATAATAGATACTATGGGATATCCACAGAATACTTACTTCATTTAGTCAGAAAAGGTTTTATTCTAGACCCTCTTTTAAGACCAGTCTTAAAAAGAAGAGAAATGTGAGAATTATTTTATACTTCACCTAGTATCATCATATGGCAGACATTCTTATTAAATGAAATTCTGGGGGGTAGGAAAAGACATTCAGGTTTGACTTTTGTCAAGTTACAAATGGATTCATCAAAGATATTAACCACATAGCACATGCAGATGGAGCTTATTAATCTATTCAACTGTTCTTTTTTTTTTTTTTTTTTTTTGAGTTGGAGTCTCACTCTGTCGCCCAGACTGGAGTGCAGTGGCCGCTCCCAGTCAGCGCAACCTCAACCTGCTGGGCTCTGGCGATCCTTCCGCCTCAGCCTTCCAAGTAGCTGGAACTACAAGCGCGCACTACCACGCCCGGCTCATTTTTTGATTTATTGTAGAGATGAGGTCTCACCAGTTGCCCAGGTGGGTCTCGAACCCGCGGGCTCAGGCAATCCACTCACCTCGGCCTCCCAAAGCACTGGGATTACAGGCTGAGCCACCGAGCCCAGCCCTATTCAACTATTTAAGCAAAAAAAAAAAAAAAAAAAAAGAATTTGAGAACATTAAGATATCTTTACCTCGTAATGAACAAACTGGTCCATTTTCTTGATTCTTAGAGCGCTTACTTCTGAACTGACTTGGAATATCTAATGAAAGGTCTTAAAAGGAGATAGGAAAACAAAGAGCTGTTAAAGGCATATAACTGTACTCAAAAAAAAATTTCAAAAGCAGATATATTCCTAAAGATTTCTCTTTACTAATTTTTCAAAGGAAATAGTAAAATTACTATTTTAATCAAATATCATATATCTATATGCCGGATGTCTTACCTAGGAATGGATCAAACTTTCTAGATTCTGTCCCACATATGAGGCAGTTCACCTCATTTTGGAGAACGCCTCCAAATATAGCCGTGACAACAGTAGATGCTCCATTTCTGAAGAAAAGCACCACATAGGAAAGCATCTCAGTGAAAAACCATCTTGCTAACATTTATAAAACAAAAATAAATATTTGTAAAAGCATCTACAGGTGACCTCCTTTGAGAGAATACATACATCATTATATTTGTTTTACAAAATAGTATTAAAAGTTCTAAACCATAAACATATACTAATAAGAGGTTTAAGCCACTGGCTTCTCCCAAACCCACTACTTTCTCCAGGAGTAACTGACACAGGCCATGTGCTATTACAGCAAAGAGATCACATGTGTGACTATACGTAGGGCAAGATGACCCTTCCAGCCCCTCTCGCCAACATATCCCTCAGAAGAGAGGAAATTGCCTTTTATTTGAATCTTTGCAGGCCTTTCATATTACAGGGAACTCTCACATTTACTTGACTTTGAACATCCTCGATCTGAGATTTTTTAGACAATCAGATTTGGGGAAAAGGAGGTAAAGAAATTTAATATAAGCCGGGCATGGTGGCTCATGTCTATAACACCAGCACTTTAGAAGGTTAAAGCAGGAGGAGAGCTTTTGAGACTAGCCTAGACAGCATAAGGAGACCCCAGCCTCTATTAAAAAAAAAAAAAAAAAAAAAAAAGCCAGTTGTGGTGGTGCATGCCTGTAGACCCAGCTACTTGGGAGGCTGCAGTGAGAGGATCACTTGAGCCCAGGAGTTAGAGGGACTAGGAATGACCCTTTCATGCTGATTTAACATGCACAATTGCCTTTAATTAAAATGAAAACTGCTTCACTCAAAAGTACATTTAAGCTCAATGTAGTTCTTCCTTCAGAATCTCTTCCTCTGAGAAATAGATACTAATCAGGTTTTGGCTATCTGATGTGTATGGCATTAAGTTTAGGTGTACTATAACTTAAAACAAGGTTTGTAAATAAATTTCAAAATCATGCCTGTATATTATAACTGCAACCAAAAGTGTTTACACACTGAGGGCTTGGGATCAGCTCTTATGCTGCCAGGTCCTTTAGCTGGCACTATGACTTTCTATGTACTAACAAGAAAACACCTGCCACTTATTTTTGCCATGCTGCCACCACCCCTACCTCCACCTCCAACAGGGGTAGGTATGCGTTTGTACAAGGAAACACAGATATTTCACAGTAGACCTTTTTATATTTTTAGCAAATACCTTAGATCCTGAAATGCTTTCTCCAACGCACTGAAGGAAATCTGAATTTTTAGTATTTGATTGTTTTTTGTTTCTGTTCCTAACTCACTAATGTAACTTGCAATTCCAATTCTTTAACATATCATGAGAAGGAATGGATTAATACTGAAAACTCATAAGGTACTGAAAGAACATTCTATGAGTATTACACAGTATGGTTTCACAGGGTAACCTCACATGAACTATCCTCGACAGAGCCCAATTCAGTATTATTTGTGTATGAAGATGCCATGATGAAATACACAACAGAATTTTTCACTTCATGCTATTTTTAATTTGGTGCTAGCAGGAAGAACAATTCTCCCAGGTCACAGGTTCTTCCTGTTCTGTGTTGACCTTTAATTGGAATCCCACTACTAGGACCGAGAGGGACAAACACTTTGAGAAGTATGGTCATTCACATTGGTTGCTCTTCTCTAACACTGCCAGATTAGCTATGAGGCTGCTTCATCATTAAAAAGATCTAGTCTGGCCAGACACAGTGACTCAAGCCTGTAAATACCATCACTTTGGGAGGCTGAGGTGAGGGGACTGCCTGAGCCCGTGGATTCGAGAACAGCCAGGGCCACTTGGCGAGATCTCATCTCTACACTAAATAAAAAATTAGCCAGGCGTGGTAGCACACACCTGTAGTTCCAGCTACTTGGAAGGCTGAGGTGGAAGGACTGCCTGAGCCCAGCAGGTCAACGCTGAGGTAGCAGTAAGCATGCCACTGCATTCCAGCCTGGGCGAGAGTGAGACTCCAACTCAAAAAATAAAAATAAAAAAAGACCTAGTCTTACTAAATCAGATTTATGGACTGCCATACAATACCACAGCAACACTTATTTGTTACTTACTCTTTTCTTTCTTTGGGAAGTTTTGTCTTCTTGTAAATCCCTTTCCTGTATAAGTCAATACTGACAAAATTTTTCAAAAAATTTAAACAAAATGAGACTACAATTGACCAAAATCCAGGCTGGAGAAATACAGTAAATCATGCTTCCCCAAGAAATATACACGTTCCAATCTCGATGTATTATTTTAAACTATTAGTACATGGGAAGCTATCCAGAAGATGTGTTTTGTTCCTACTGAGAGGCAAGAAAAAATTCTGAAAACTTACAAATGCCTCCGTTTCATTTAAGAACAGACAAACTTTAGGAAAATTCAAGTCTAAAATGGAACTTTAGAAAAATTCACATTCTGACCGTTTTAAGCTTTTGTTTTTAGTGAACAGATTTAATTTTTTTGTTTGTTTGTTTTTGAGTTGGAGTCTCACTCTGTCGTCCAGACTGGAGTGCAGTGGCCATTCCCAGCAACCACAGCCTCAACCTGCTGGGCTCCAGCGATCCTTCCGCCTCATCCTTCCAAGTAGTTGGAACTACAGGCACGCGCTACCATGCCCGGCTTATTTTTTGATTTATTGTAGAGATGAGGTCTCACCAAGTTGCCCAGGCGGGTCTCGAACCCGCGGGCTCAGGCAATCCACTCACCTCAGCCTCCCAAAGGCGCGGGATTACAGGCTGAGCCACCAAGCCCGGCTTAATTATTTTGATATATGAAAATTAAGTCTCCTAACCATTGTTCAATACATCTGGAGGAAAATCTTTTAAATGCTAAATTGTATAAGTATTTTTTACTATTTTAAGTTTTAAAATAATCTATACCAAACATACCAATCAGCACTAAATCAAGATGCAAATACAGGATGCCTCTGGTCTGAAAACAAGAGGCATGTGGTCAGAAAATTCAAGTGCACAAAAGTTTCAGCCAACATCCAGGAAGCCCTTCTGCCTTCCAGTATGAATCGAACATAAAGTTAACACCAACATAAATATCTAAAAGATAAAAGGAAACTAAATCTTACATGCAACATTTGTTACTTGCAGACAGAGTAGAATTCTCCTGCAGAATTGCCGAGCGGGAAACACCATTAAAACCGCCCTGGAGTTCCAAGTGTAGGTGGTCCAAAAGGTAGCGCATGAATTCATGGGCGTCCTGCTGCTGATAGCCCCTGGAGCAAACAGAAGCAGTCACGTGAGGCTCTGCCCACCCTGCCTCAAGGGGCAAGGCTGGGAAGCAGTCAGCCAGGTACCCTCACCTCACACCCGCCAGCTCCACAGGCAACACTGCACCTGTCTTCAAGAAAGAATTTTACTGCTTAAAAATAAGTTTGCAAACCAAAAATTACTAGCGCTAATTGGACCTGGAGTGGTGTCCTCAACTGTCCTCACTTCAGCAATGAGGAAACTGAGGGGCCAAAAAGGGGGCATGTAACTTGCTTGAAGTCAGTCAAACAAGAGTAACCAGATAGGCCTACACCAGCCTCTTGTGGTAGATGCTGCATCCTCCCGCTGCAGAAGATGCTCAGATGTTACAACTGCGACTCTTACCTGCACCAGAAAACCAGGTGTGAGCCACCACCATAAGACAGAAGGAATTTAAAACTAACTCCTTAGATGGAAAGATACTGATTTTTAAGCACTGGGTGAAAGGAAGAAAAACTTTACCTAAAGAATTAAAAATGCCTAACATTATCGACTTGTATCCTAACCTCTGATTCAAAGACAGCTTTTTTTTTTTTTTGAGTTGGAGTCTCACTCTGTTGCCCAGACTAGAGTGCAGTGGCACACTCACAGCCACTGTAACCTCAACCAACTGGGCTCAGGTGATCCTTCAGCCTCAGCCTTCCAAAGTAGCTGGAACTATAGGCACATGTCTATAGTTGATTTATTGTAGAGATGAGGTCTTGCCAAGTCATCCAGGCTGGTCTCGAACCCGTGGGCTCAGGCAGTCCTCCCACCTTGGCCTCCCAAAGTGCTGGGATAATAGGCATGAGCAACGGCACCCAGTCCAAAGACAGCTTTTTAAAAATAACATACTTTTTAAAAACTGCATACGTGACCAGCCTGAGCAACATGGCAAGACCTCGGTTCTACAATTTTAAAAAAATGCATAGACTCATATACAATTATGCTCTATCCTAAAATTTAAATATATATGTAAAATAACATTCTTAGGTTACTTTTTACACCACATTAAGATACGAAACTATAAGGAATCCTTATACAGATTAATGACAAGTATACAAGTTTCGTTTTCTGTCTACCATAATAAAGGTAGACAGGAAATGAAACTTGTACAGTTAGAAGGTCTGGGGAGATTTATTTAGATAAAATAAATCAAGCAATATTAGATTAAGTTCTTTTATAAAACTGAATAGCAAAGACTTCTGTCTACATGTTGCCAGCATAGAAGGTTTTCTTTAACCTGATCTTCTAAATCGTAAGTTTTTCTGGTCTGGTCCTAAGAGTCAAAACTTCCACTATTCTTCTGAGAGATGGTTCCATAAACATAATTTCTTTCAGCCAGAATTTCCCTTGATATTACAGATTATAAAAATAATCTCCCTAATCAATGGAACTTAAAGTCAGAAGTCACTTCAGCATTTCATAGCTTTCTCTAAACTATTTGGCAACTAAGTATCAATATATGTTCAACTATTTCTTTTAAGGCTATTATGAATAAAAATGCTAAAATTCACAGTCAAAAACATTCAAAGTATTTGGTAGTTCCTTTATATATCTATCTAAGGAGGTGCTTTAAACATTTTGATACAACATCCATTTTTACCATGATTCAAAGGTAAGATCAGTATTTTAGGTAATAATATCTGAAATTCTATCACATACAAAAAATTGCATTCTCTCCCCCAAATAACTTAATGTCTAAGTCATAATTTTCCTAAAATGTTATGAAGATCAATAATTTATGGCTATAGCAATTTGCATTTTCATCAGGTGAACACATATCCAGCACTTTTTAAAAAACAATCTGCCTAATGTACAGTAATATGTTTCTAACTATACCATGATTCGTTTCTTTTATCAAAATACTTTCGTTTCTAATGTTTCCTATGCCAGTACAGCATCTTCTTTAACCTACATGAGATCATGGAACAACTCAGTTGTTCTATAAAGGTAGATTATGAATTTCTGTTTCAACTTGTGAAATCAACCAGAAAGTCTCTACTTCTAAGACTGAGACTTTTTCTGATTCAGACTAAAGAGACATTTACAGTTCTATGTTTAAACATTGAAATATGTCATTTCATTGACTCATCTGAAAACCTAAATAAAAATGTTTTATTTAGTATGTTAAATTCAACAAATTTCAGTTATCTTTTCAATTATTTCCCAAGTATACAACCTGGACTTCGGAATTTACTCTGTAGTCAACTTAGATTTTTCTTGTTTGAGAATCACAACACTCCTCACATTCAGGTAGTGTTCATGCTTTGTATACATATTTCAGCAATGTCACCCACAACACTGTTTGTGAATTAGTGAGGAAAAGGATTTATGAAGAACCAACTGGGGCCCCTGTGTCAGGCCAGAACTAAAAGAGAAAAGACAACAGAGGGAAGTAACGGTGGCTCCAGTTTTAACACTGTCCCTTATCTTCACTTGTTTGTGACCTCATATAACGAGTATGGTTTCTCCTTAATGTCTGCAGAAGGAGTAACAGGAAATCCATGTCTAAGGATGCTGTGGGACATCATCATTGGAGAGCATACTGCAAATTCAGAAAGCCTAAAGGAGTTGAAACATCCATCCTGAAGGCCCCGAAAGGAACACTGCTGAAACCCTGCACACAGGAGCCCAGCAGCTGACTCTTCACAATGAGTACAAACCACATTTACCCAAATCTTAAAGACAAAGAAATGTTGCGATAAAAAATGATCAAAGAAAATGTTACTTTGCACCTGCTTAAGTGTAAAAAGCAGATATTTAAAATAATGAAACAAACATCCCACAACACAGACACACAAAATATTCATGTGATGCCACTACACACATCAGTATGACATTTATCTGTGCAGAACCGACCTGTTCTGTGTTTCGGCAGCACTAGTACATAACCTATCAAATGGCAAAGACCAAGGACAAGGATTTGCCTCCACAGAATCGAATTTGATCATTTAGAGGGAACTGCCTCTAAAATACATTAGAATTTTAGGTTCTGCTCATATTTAAAATGTCTTTAACATTTGTGAAAGAATTTTAAATTATTATTTTGGGCCAAAATATCTGCAAAATCAAAGTAAGTTAAATTTAGCTATTTCTATCCATCCAGTATTTGGCAACAATTATAGATGAGTTTCCTCAAGACAAAAACTCCAGAAAATGAAAATGACAGAAATGAGCCGGGCTTGGTGGCTCAGCCTGTAATCCTGCACCTTTGGGAGAGTGAGGTGAGTGGATTGCCTGAGCCCGTGGGTTCAAGACCCGCCTGGGCAGGCGAGACCTCATCTCTACAATAAATCAAAAAATTAGCCGGGCGTGGTAGCGCGCTCCTGTAATTCTGATTACTCGGAAGTCTGAGGCAGAAGGATCGCCGGAGCCCGGCGGGTCGAGGCTGCGATGGCTGGGAGCAGCCACTGCACTCCAGTCTGGGCGACAGAGTGAGACTCCAACTCAAAAAAAAATAAAATGACAGAAATGAAGTTGCGTTTTCAAACACATATAGAAAAATACAATAGCACAATTTCTTAGCTCAAGAACTATCAGTTTAAATATGAAATAGCAACTGCGTAGTATTTTTTAAAGTCCTTCTCTATTTACAAATCTCCCAAAAGATTATTGTTCAAGTATCACATGCAAATGTGATTTATTGTCTACAAAAAAACCTTTATGTCATCTATAAAGCTAAGAACAGCTAGCAAATGGAATAATGTTTCAATACTGTATTTGCCCATCATTTCTAAACCTTAGTTATAACATGAACTGATTTTTTTTAAACTAAAAAAAAGTACTGTTTTGGGAAGTCAAGGCAAATATGCTAAATCAAGTTGTACCATAAAGGACCTGATTGGAATTATCAAGAGACTGTCCTGAAGAGTAGTGAGTATTAAACTTGATCTTAAAGAGAGAGGGCCCTCAAGGCAAATCCTACAGGCAGAAACACATGACATACAAAGATACCCGGGCAACAAGCCACGATCATGTGAAGAAAATCTGCAAGGAGTAGCAAAGGCTGTCACAAAAAACTGGCAAAACTACAAGAGCACATACCCAGCAATTCCTCTCTCAGATATCTGCACGTATATGTGAAAGACTATGTGCTGCAGCACCGTGGACCAGGAAAGACTAGACACAATCCATATGGCCACTGGGAAGGGACAAGTGCATAAATTATGATAATCTATAAAACAGTCTGAGGAAGCTCTTGATAAACTAATACATATCATCTCAAAGTAGAAAAAATGGATGACATGTTACCAATTATGTTAAAAATTACATACACATGCTTGTCATGTACACAGAATGTCACGGAAAGGACACACACAAATCTGTTAACTATGGTTGCTTTCAGAAAATAGAATGAATGGATAGGGAACAGAGTAAAGTTAAAAATTCACTATTTTTTTTACCTTTTGAATTATGAATCATGTGTGTTTTCACCTTTTTTAAAAAAATTAACGTTAAGGCCCGGCATGGTAGCTCACGCCTATATTGTCCTCCAGAGGCAGGACAATCGCTGGAGCCCAGAAGTTCAAGAACAGCCTGAGCAACCTAGTGAGACCCTATCTCTACAAAAAAATATTTGAAAATTATCCAGGCATGGTGGCACGCACCTGTAGTGCCAACTTACTCAGAAGGCTGAGGTGGAAGGACAGCCTGAGCACAGGTGGTTGAGGCTACAGTGAGCCATGATGGTAACACTGTACTCCAGCCTGGGAGACAGAGACCATGATTCAAAAAGCAAACAAAAGACCCAAAATTAAACAAACAAACAAACTTTATCTTCAAGAAAAAGGAAAAAAAATTGGGTATATTAGCAAGTCATGAGAAGTGTGTTAAGTAGATACAGACATTGGAAAACATTAAAACTTTGCAGGAAAATTTTTCTCTGCGGGTAACTAGCTTTTGACTGATTACATTTAGGATATATTTTTTTATACATTCAATTAATAAATGAGCTGGGCTCGGTAGCTCAGCCTATAATCCCGCGCCTTTGGGAGGCTGAGGTGAGTGGGTTGCCTGAGCCCGCGGGTTCGAGACCCGCCTGGGCAGCAAGACCTCATCTCTACAATAAATCAAAAAATCAGCCAGGCGTGGTAGCGCATGCCTGTAATTCCGGCTATTCGTAAGGCTGAGGCGGAAGGATCGCTGGAGCCCAGCAGGCGAGGCTGCGGTGGCCGGGAGCGGCCACTGCACTCGAGTCTGGGTGACCGAGTGAGACTCCAACTCAAAAAATAATAATAATAATAATAATAAATGAAAGTTTTTCTACTTCTACATGCATGTTTATTTCAGAGTTCTCATGTTTCATCCCAAAGGATCAAGTTCCGTAGAAATCATCATATGTTAATCAAGAAAAATGGGCTTTCTAAACTTTAAAAAATGTACTTTGGGACTATAAATAAATATAAACGTAATTCAAGACTCATGTGCTACCATCTAGGCATGTTATAAGACTCTTACCCTGCATACCTAACATGACTAACAGTCATAAGAAGGAAGCCCCACCTTCCTGCCTCATCTCTGGGCATTGTGCAGTGACCCTGCCCTAAAGCTTTATCCTAGATCTCACCAAAAGAAAAATTATTCTTTGGCTATATGAAAATGAGGAACAATCTCAATTACTGCAGAACTAAGAGAAAGCCCAGCAAGGAATAGAAAAGCATCCTATTCTCATCAGTGATTAAGGAAATTTAAAAGCACAGTGTATCAGAAGTCACCCCAGAGACCCCATGTTAAATTTCTCTACCTGGTTACCTTTTCTAAAGGTTCTTTCCCTTCATTGGTAGTAACACAGTACTGGAATGTGTAATTTAAGTAGATAGAAACTAAATCATGCTCACAGTTGAGCTACAGAAACTAGAAAGGGCAGAGATGTAGGAAGACTTAGAGGAAATAGTAGAATTCGACTGTATAAAAACATGAGAATGTTTCTAAACCTTTGAAAATGAGGGACCTTGGTCACCATGGAGACCAAGGAGAACAGTGCAAAATTAGTTAGTGGGACTCACTCAAAGCATGAGGACAAATTACTGTTAACACGTCTATTATTAACCAACTCCACAAACACCTGGGTTCTAATTTTGGTCATAACACCTACTAGATGTATAAGATTAAACAAGTTGCTTCTCCTCTCTGTCTCAGTTTTGTCTTCTCTAAAATGAGAGTAACACTTCCTACCTCGGTTGAAATTTGAAGATCAGATTTAAAGTACCTACTGTTTGACACATAATAGGCATTCAGTAAATGGAAACATGATATAATAACAAACACAAATCCCTATCAAGAGTCTAATTAAATGATTATGTTAGAAATTTTATAGAAGTCCAACTAGTGGTAACTTAACAGTCATTTCCCCCTTTCCTACTGAGAGTCAAGACATGCTGAAATTCTTATAAAATTAGTGTCTCCTGAGAGAAGATTTAAATGAAATACATAAAACAAGATTCCTTCAAAACAAAGACCTGGGTTAACAACAGTTACTCATGTCAGATCCTCAAGCCTAGACTTTTCATCAAGGCAACAAATTACAGTTCTTTGAAGTTATTACCTTTTAACATTTCTCAATATTAACAGTATCTGTATTAGGCAACAGGGCAAGATATTTTGCGAAGTTTTACTACAGCATGTTTTTTTTTTTTTAAAAGGAGAGGGATGTACATTAGGCACCAAAATCATGACTAGTGAGAATTCTGACTTGCTTGAGAGGGATAAAATCAGTGGAAAGTGGCAAGGGCTGTTGTCAAACACCGGCAGCACCCCAAGTCTAGTATTACCCAAATCCCTGGGGGTGACTAACCTAGGAGAAGAGGCAGGATCCCTCTGACAGCATACCGGTGCTTCCTACTTGAGGCTAGAGAGAAAGTTGGGCGACATGGGAACTCTCCGGCTACCCAAAGATATGGCACAGCTGCCTTCTGGAGAGCGAGTCCTGATGGGTTGGGCTACAGTCTTCCAAGAGCTTTGGAACTCAGCCCAGAGCAGTTAACATAATACCATGGGTTTCTAGGATTACATTTGGCTTTTTTTAGTATAAAACAGTATATGACAGTAATGGTTCTTTGTAAGATTGTGAAAGAATTAAGGAAATTTTGTCCAGTATATTTTCCTAGTGCACATAAGTTATTTATAAGGGCTTATTTTTATAACAACAAAGTACCCTATCCCTTGTTAAAAACATTTCTAATGTCTATTAGTTAAACACATTTGTTTAGTCAGATGTATTCAACTTCTGCTCTTCTAAAACAACAAAAAACAAAACAAGCCAGTCCTAATTGTTTAGAATATTTAGAATACCACCACTTCATCAGGAATTATTTCAGAGACACTATAAAGACTAACATTAATGTTTTATGATATCTTTCTTTAAATGATACTTACCTAAAATTCGGCATAATCTTCCAAACAACATAAAATAAGGACTCTGGGCTGAATGCAGTCTGGCTGCCTTGCCATAAAGCACAGAGTGTCTTCCTAAATTCTTCCACCAAAGACCTGAAAAGAGCAAGGACAACACCCTCAGCATCCACGAGAGGCTCCCATTTCATTGTATAATGTCCAACTGTTTAAAATGCACAATTTAAAAATAAAAACTTGAAAAGGACTTGGTCTCCTCTGAACTAATTCTAACAGCTAAATAAGAGCATCTTAAAAACCCATGTAAGTAGCAAAAATTTCTGACAAAACTATTTTTCTTTTTTTTTTTTTTTTTGAGTTGGAGTCTCACTCTGTCGCCCAGACTGGAGTGCAGTGGCCGCTCCCGGTCATCGCAGCCTCGACCTGCTGGGCTCCGGCGATCCTTCCGCCTCAGCCTTCCGAGTAGCCGGAATTACAGGCATGCACTACCACGCCCAGCTGATTTTTTTTTATTTATTGTAAAGATGAGGTCTCGCTGCCCAGGCGGGTCTCGAACCCGCGGGCTCAGGCAATCCACTCACCTCAGCCTCCCAAAGGCACAGGATAACAGACTGAGCCACCGAGCCCAGCTTCAAAACTATTTTTTTAACCATATGGTTAACTTTGAGTGTGCCAAACCACTGCCATATATGTATACTCTGGGCTAAAAATCACACACCAAACTATGAAGCAGTGGATAAATTACAAGTCAAATTACTCAAGAATGTACACTTTAAAAACCTAAGCCACTGGCTTTCTCTCCCTCTCCTGCATTCTCCTTCTTGCCCCTCACTAGCACCTCCAGTCTATGTCCACCACTCATCTCCGCCTCAAAGAGTTCACATGGCCACAAGGCTTCAATGTCAGTTCCATATCAATGAATCTCCAGTCCAACGCCAACAGTCAGATTTTCACATGACCCCTCTTATTTAGGTTTCTCGTTTCCAGCAGGAATCTTCTACAGAAGGACCTCTTGCCCTTCCAGCTCCATATATCCTAAACTGCCCAAGTCCCTACTACTCTCTGTACTCTCCCACTCTCGCCCAATATCCATTCTCTTCTTTCCTCATAGAACTAGAAATTCTTTTTTTTTTTGGCTGGGCTTACAAACTCAGAGTAAAAACTCTGAGTGTGTCCAGATTCTGGGAAACTTCTTTTTTTTTTTTTGAGTTGGAGTCTCACTCGGTCGCCCAGACTGGAGTGCAGTGGCCGCTCCCGGCCACCACAGCCTCGACCTGCTGGGCTCCGGCAATCCTTCCCCCTCAGCCTTCCAAGTAGCTGGAATTACAGGCATGCGCTACCACGCCCGGCTGATTTTTTGATTTATTGTCGAGATGAGGTCTCGCTGCCCAGGCGGGTCTCGAACCCGCGGGCTCAGGCAATCCACTCACCTCAGCCTCCCAAAGGCGCAGGATTACAGGCTGAGCCACCGAGCCCGGCTGGGAAACTTCTTAAAAAGAAAGAGTTGTTCTTCACACTAGCCCCTTCCTTCTTCCCACTAGCTGGAAGGACAACGTAATGGTGGAGCTCCAGCTCTATCCTGGACTATGTGAACAAGGCATGCCCTAGAGTTGGTGGAACACAAAGCTAGAAGGAGCCTGGTGATTCTGTCCCAAACAGATAACCTCAAACTCTGACATGAGAAAACAAACTGGATGTTTAATTCACTGTTAATTTTGGTTTTTTATGCACCTGTAGCGGCAATGATACACTTGCTCAACTTAAATTTCTCTGTCTGTATAGCCACTATTCTCTTGGATACTTGATACCTCAGAGAATCACAGTATCTTCCTCCTCAGCCCCTGTCATCTAGTAGGTCCCTGGGATACAAACAACATTTTGACCTCCTAGTTCCTGAATGCCCTTCCTATGCTTGGGGAATTCCCAAACTTAAGCGTCTCAATGGGAGTCAGACCCCACCTCCCACTAAGAAGCAAAAGGGTCAAGACACCTGCTTTCTCAAGTCTCCTTTGCAGTCAGAGCACAGGGATACAGCCTGGGCTCTGCCCAGCAGAAGCAGTTAGTGACACAAAGAAGCAGGGACGGACAGCACCAAGTCCTCTCTGGTGGCAGTGATGACAGAGTCCGGAGCAGCAGAAACTGTGGCATTCACCAGCACCCATCTCCTGCGGCATTCACCAAAACCCATCTCCTACAGCTGGCAATAATGACTCCTGGTACTACCAGGCAATGGTGGCAGGGGTGTCCTCGCAGGACAGTTCAGTGGGTAACTGTGGCTACGCTGCTGCTGCCTTGACTCCAGACCTGATTTCCCACCCACTTAGTGATGGTTTAGCTCACCAACAGCCCTGCAATAGATTCCTTTTCTGCCCCAATCATCCAGAGGCAATTTCTGCAGTCCATAACTAAACTCTAAAGGACACTAATGCATCAGCTACTGCTAATCTTCCCTTAACTTCCATGCCCATATATTTTTTCCACTTCATTTCGCTGACATTCCTACTAACCCGATTAAAGTGTGAAGCCTCCTTAAATGCAGGCACTTTCCAGCTCATCCAGGATGCTGTTACCAAAGGAAATCCCCATCAAGCAGCACCTGCAGTGATATCAATCCCACCCTGCTCCTGGTTCCACAGCTTCCCTGTACTGAGGCCACTACTCTGACATGTTCTGTCCTACTCACCCTCAGCCACCAAGGTTGGACATTGTCAGATTATGAAATGACCCTTTAGAATGTATGGGAATGGGGGTGAGGAAATGTGGGTGGGCAGGCAGAGAAAACATTAAATACAAGGGGTGCCAAAAAAAACTATACACATTTTAGGAGATGTTATCTATGTATTACTTTTTGAAGCTGAATCATATGACATTCGCTCAACCATGCTTCCCCAATTTTTTTTTGGTTTGCCCTGCCTGTAGCATGGTAACACTAGCATTCATTTGATTAAGGTCATCTTTTGAGCAAATGTCATACTTTAAATGTGTACACATTGTTTTTGTCACCCCCTCTATGTAAGGGTTATAAGTCACAGTCCTTCTGATAGGTCTTCTGAACTTCTGAGCCCAAATAAGGCAGGGCCGCACTGAACTGGAATACAGAGCTGGTCCTTAACAATCACTTGTTCATTTTTTTCTCTCCATACCAACCAAAAACCAACTCCATTGCCCACAACTAACTTACTGACTACAAATTGATTTGATTAGTCAAGACAGGTTTACCTAACACTATCAGACAAATCAGTTCACATGGACTGATGATATTCATGCTAATCTATACCTAGAACCGTATTTCATATATTGATGTCAATCCTAGAATGCCCAAATCTGCAAAGACTCAGTAAGTAGAGTGCTAAATTTATCCTGCCAGTTATAGTAAATAGAAATAAAAGAATTCCAATAATTATTAAGATCGCCAGCTAGACACCCAAACCCAATTTTTAGAAGAATTTTTTTTTGTATGTGCCTATTAGCACACATAATACAATGAAAACCACCAGTGAGAATCATTTGGTTTGTAGCACAAAGCCAGAAAGGACGTCTCTTGTAACTCACACGTTGCTATCCCCTTGGCTCCTGGTGTGGTATGTCCGCCTTCCTGCTGTCTTCCCATTCCTTAACTCCACAGCGGGCAGTTCTTTGAAATAACAGCAAAACTGCTCAATGTTACTATTTTAAAAGGAAGGGAAAGAATATTTAAAAAGAAAAATTTCCAGGACTGTAAAGAGAGTTTTATGAAGCCTACACATGAACCGTGAACATGCACTTGCTCAGTTGTCCCATTTAAACTGTACTCATTGCATCTCTTGCACTGAGTATCTTTGTTATGTTCTTCATTCACTCAAAGAAACAGTATAGACAGATGATTGTGTAGAAATGCACAAAGAACTTAAAACAGAAATCTGTCTGAAAAAATCCCAATTTTCCCGCCACGTTTAGTTTGTCACCATGTCTTTCTTTTCAGTGTGATTGGTTCCAAATATTCAGCAATTTCCTCACATATAAACAAACCGTGAAGCCAACCATATTATTTAGATATACTACACAGAATTATAAGGAGAATTCAGAAGTAAGGAGAATTTCCTCTTTGAGCAATAGCAGGTAAGCTGAGAGGCAGTATCTTCAAGGAGAGGTCAAACATGCCTTCTACTCCTTATCAGCAATGTGACCTTGGGAAGATAACTTATTCTGACTTTTGATGCTTCAGTAAAATTGAAAGTAAACAACTTTCAAGATAATTTCTTCTACAAAACTTAGGTCAGCCTTGTTGGCGATTATATTTTTACTACTTGTCTTACATTTTGAAGACATCTCATCTCAGCTGAAGACTTAACTAATGACTGAAATAAGCTCTCTGAACAAAGTTCTCTGTAGCTTAGGGGGTCTACAAACTACGGCCCACAGGCCAAATCGAGCCCTCAGTGGGGTTGAATTTTCTTCTTTTTTTTTGAGCTTGAGTCTCACTCTGTCGCCCAGGTTGGAGTGCAGTGGAACACTCAGGACCACCACAGCCTCGACCTGCTGGGCTCAGGTGATCCTTCCGCCTCAGCCTTTCCAGTAGCTAAAACCACAGGCATGCATCACCACGCTCAGCTGATTTTTTAAATTTATTTTTTATAGAACCGAGGTCTTGCCATGTTGCTCAGGTTGGTCTTGAACTCCTGAGCTCAGGTAATCCTCTCGCCTCAGCTTCCAAAGTGCTGGGATTACAGGCGTGAACCATGGCACCCTGCTGAGTTTTACTTTTTTTTTTTTGAGTCAGAATCTCACTCTGTCGCCCAGGCGGGAGTGTAGTGGCACGCTCTTGGCCACCGCAGCCTCGACCTGCTGGGCTCAAGCGATCCTTCTACTTCAACCTTCCAAGTAGCTGGAGCAACAGGCATGCACCACCATGCCCAGCTATTTTATTTTTTTTAATTGTAGAGATGAGATCTTACCATGTTGCCCAGGCTGGTCTCGATCCCCCGGGCTCAGGCAATCCTCTCGCCTCCACCTCCCAAAGTGCTGGGATTACAGGCGTGAGCCACTGTGCCTGGCTGAGTTTTACATCTTTAAAGTATTGTTTTTAAAAAAGCTGCGTGTGGTGGCTCACACCTGTGATCCTAGCACCTTGGGAAGCAGAGAAGAGGGGACTGCTTGAGTTTAGGAGTTTGAGACCAGCCTAGGCAACCCAGCAAGATCTTGTCTTCTACAAATTTTTTTTGTTTAAATAGTTGGGCATACTTGCATGCACCTATAGTCCCAGCTACTCAGGAGGCTGAGTTAGAAGGATCATCTGAGCCCAGGAGTTTGAGGTTGCGGTGAGCTGTAATGGTGCCACTGCACTCCACCCTAGGGGACAGAGTGAGACCCCAACTATGGCCTAAAAGACTAAAATGTTTACTACCTGGCCATTTACAGAGAAAGTTTGTTGCCCTCTGCTCTAGCCTATTCAAGAAGCAATCGAAAATAGATAATAACAGCAAACAGTCATTGCCAGGCCCTGCTCTTAGGACTTTAGACAAATTATATTAAATAATCTTCCCAACATGAGGTAGAACTATTACCCCCCCAATTTTACTGATGAGGAAGCTAAGGCACAAGGAATTAAGGTACCTTGCTCCAAGCCATATGACTAGAGTTAGAAGAGATAAGATCTAAAGACAGAACCTTTGCTCTTAAATTTTAATGTCTGATACCTAAGCTCTGACTATAATGTTACCTAAGCGACTGAAGAATGGCATTCATAAAACACGTGTTCCCCAAATTCCGAAGGCCTGTGGCACAAATGGCAGCAGTGCTTCCCTGAAAAATAGAACACAAAGAAGACACTATCAGTTCAAGCAAAACAAAGGCCTCTATTCAAAACTCCAGCACCAAGCCAATTTGGAATGGGTCCTTTTCTGTACAATAATTACTTCAAACAAACTCTCTTTCTAATTTCTGTAGAAATGTCTGGATGTTTTTAGAAGGCTGATTCTGATCCTGACACTGTTCTAAATGGAAGCATCTTATTGAAAGCTTATGGGGACACCAGCATTAAAGTACCATGGGACACAAAATGCAAAACAGGAAAATCCCTGGAAGAAGTAAAATATAAGACTTAGTGCCTTTATCACATTCTATTAAAACAACAGACACTTTAAAGTATAAGTAGATATACCCCAAGAATTTCTGTCCCCAAACTTTCAACACTAAGCCACACACACATGACCAATACATGTTTTCCTAGCATGGGATATGAACTTCAAGATACTATCTGAAACTCAAGACTTAGTCTGAAAGCCAGGACACATGTTTAGAAATGTTTATAGCAGGTAACATTAAATGTCAGCACTGCAGCAAGACAGCAATTAGATCTCAACCAACTCTTCTATTTGAAGAAATTTTAATTACTTACATTTACTTTTAATAACTTGCTGTTCAGTGATGAGTTTTCTAAAAGTTTCCTTTTTCTGTGCCTGTCAGTTGTGAAAGCTGAGCTATTAAAACACAGAGAATGAAAAAGATATTAATGTATACATGCTACACACAGGCTAAAGAATGCACTCAAGCGGCCTTCAGTGTCTAGGGCACAGAGACCTGCTTGGCTGCTCAGTCAGGCCCAATGAGGTCCACAAGTATTTGAAGTTAGCTGAGGAGGTCCGCTTCCTTGGAAGTTCCACTGTTCCTCCAGTAGGGCAGGAGCTGGATACTGCTCCTGGCAAAGCTGAACAGGTAGATGCAGTCTGTGAGATACTCCCTCCCCACCACCACTCCGTGGATCAGACTGTGAAGATTCAAAATCCAGAAGAGCGATCCCTCACAACAAAAAGAAAACCCTGGTCTGACACTAGTATTCTGAAATGTTAACAGTAAGTCTCAATATGCTATTTTCTTAATTTTGATAAAGGTATCATGTTTTGCTCAATTGTCTTAATAGATTATTATACAATCTGAGTCCAAGGAATGAGAATTAAGTTATAGCAATACAGGCATATATAAAATCATTTGATTCAGCTACGCTACAGATCCTAATTAGTACAGAAGTTCTGAATTAAAGTCGTTCAAAACTTTTCTAGATGAAAGAGATATTTTGCTTAAAATTTATCAGAAAGTTATTCCTATAAAAGGCCACTTTATAATTATTATATGTCAGGAGAACTAATCTAAAGGAGGTAAAAATTATGGTTAACAATTCTTTCCCACCTTCTGTAAGTACCAAGCTAATTCAAAGTAAATACATAATTATTTCTCTTTCCAAAATTTCCACATCAGCTATGTCTTTGAAACATCAGAACTAGTGACAGTAAGTTACTTCAAACCTCAAAATACTATTCAGAACTGTGTGTATGTGTGTCTCAGAGTACTGGTAACTACAAGCTGAGGAGAGAGAATCCATATTGACAGTGTTCAAGCATTCCTTGACAGATTCTGTAAGTGAAGCGGGTGAATCACAAGCACAATGCAGATGCTACTTAGAGACGTCTAACAGCTAGTTTTCAGTTTTAACCTATATAAATAAAGCATTTAGCTTTTTGAAAATATAAATTATTGCATTTTATCCTCAGTGAATCTCAACATGGCAGAATCTTCTAGATGTGGCTATTTAAATGTAAATGGATTAAAGTTTGAAATTCGGTTTCTCGGTTGTTCTAGCCACTTTTCAAGTATGGGTAGTGTTACCATATTGGTGCAGATTATAGAACAGCCATCACTGCAGAAAGTTCCACGGAACAGTGCTGTTCCACAGGAGATGTAGAATAGTTAAAAGTAAAACATCCGTGTAACTGTAGTTTCTGACTTCTATTACAGATTAAAGCCAATGTTTGGGGGGTTTTGTCGTTGTTTGTTTGTGACAGGGCTGGAGGAGGGTCGGAGGGGTAAGAAGAGAGACGGGGTAGAGGGAGTGAGAATGGAAGGTAGGCAGCGGGGGTGGGCAGAGAGTGGGGAGGAAGAGGAGAAGAAGAATGTTTGGTAATGTGTTCGACATAGGAACTGGACTGCAAAATGTATCTTTTAGTGGGACCAAGTAGAAATGTAGACGGGGTCCTGGTCTGTGACACCTTTTATCTGACGCAGGTCAATGGAAATAAAAGATTTTATAACTGTATAGATGCATGAGGGTTCTCCAATGCCCTCTCTTCCCTTTGACATAGTTCTGATTAATTTATTCAGATTAAGAGGGTAGTCTTTTCTTAGATAAAACTACAAATGGCGGAAAAAATATGCTGGTAGCTACCCCTTCTATATCAAAGAATGAAGTTAGTAAGATCTTTCAATGACATCACCACACCAAAGAGTGATACCTACTGCACAATTTACTGTGAGCAATTTCAGGCAAAATGAAAGATCCTGGACCTGTGTATCAGTACCAGTGTCTCTAACCCTAGACAGGGCTCATGTTTTTCAGTTCAAATTAAAAGGTAAAAAGCACTTTGAAAGAGAAAGGAGCCAGAAGATGACAACCCAAGAGGTACTTAAACCCAAAGGATTTTAATTATAATAGATCTTAAATCATTATTCTTCCCTTAACAGACCTGTAATCCATTCAGTCAATGCATAAAGACTTTGGTTCACAAACACTACACAGTGTTGCACTCGAAAAAGTTGGGGTATTTCCTCAGTATACAATTTTGAAATATTCTATTGGTTTTACATTTAAGTTTGCTAAGGGACATCTACTTTTGGCATGTTTTCACAATACCTTCTATACTTCAACTGCCAAAATAAATCAGATGGCACTTCATAATTTGGGGTGATTTGCACAGACTTCACTTGAGTCAGAGTCATTCCAGGGCTGTGCTTCTAACCATGGAGCCTCAAAGGCACAGCTAGTTGGGTTTCTGTTTATCACTTCCAATTTCAGGTCCAGTGAGTTTTATCAGAATAAGCAATTTGACTTATCAAGACAACTCTATTTACATAAAAGCTTTGATTTCTTTATGATGACAAAAGGTTTTTTTGTTGTTTTTTTTTTTTTGAGTTGGAGTCTCACTCTGTTGCCCAGACTGGAGTACAGTGGCAGACTCCCGGCCACCACAGCCTCGGCTTGCTGGGCTCTGGCGATCCTTCCGCCTCAGCCTTCCAAGTAGCCAGAACTACAGGCATGTGCTATCACACCCGGCTAATTTTTTATTTACTGTAGAGATGAGGTCTCACCAAGTTGCCCAGGTGGGTCTCGAACCCACGGGCTCAGGCAATCCACTCGCCTCAGCCTCCCAAAGTGCTGGGATTACAGGCTAAGCCACTGAGCCCAGCCCACAGCTTGTAATTTCAAGTGATATATACTGCCCCAGACAAAAAAAGAGAAGAAACTAGGATCCTGTGCTGCCGCATAGCAGCAAAGTGGACAGTAAGACAATTAAACTTAATTTTCCTTCAAAATAATGCATAAATCCAGCCAGGTGCAGTGGCTCACGCCTATGATTCCAGCACTTTGGGAAGCGGAGGTGAGAGGATTACCTGAGTCCAGGGGCTTAAGACCAGCCTGGGCAACTTGACAAGACCTCATCTTCACACTAAATCAAAAAATTAGCCAGGTGTGGTGGTGCACGCCTGAGGTTCCAGCTACTTGGAAGACAGACACAGAAGGATTGCCTGAGCCCAGCAGATCGAGGTTGCGGTGGCCGTAAGTGTGCTACTGTGCTCCAGCCCAGGCGACAGAGTGAGACTCCTACTCAAAAAAAAGCATAAATCTTAGTGCTTCTAAACAGATCTCATAATAAATTTTGAAATATTTCTAATATCAAAGGTGACGCTAATATGATTTTATATCATTTTCTGCCCTTTCCTTGTACCTCCCACCCCCCAAATTCCACTTGTAAATAAATTGAGCTTATAAATTGGTGAATAAAAATTTAAAAACAGGCTCTTGGGACCTTGAATACGGTTTATGACAAAGATTAGATTAAACAAATGTAGAGCTACAGACATTAACTATGAGCAATGTTTCAGATATCCAAGCCCAAGGTTTATTTTATCAATATTTCGATCACATTAAAAACACGAAGCTATGAAACTCACAGACAAAAATTCCACCCACTCAGAAATTCTAAAAGACCCTTCAGCCCATTTTAACCCCTTCTTTCCCAAGGCCTATTACTTACTTTTCCAAGTTCTGTAAGTGTTCTCTGACTTTCTGTACCAGTCCCAGCTTGGTGTCATTAACCACAAAATCATCACAGCGATAACTGCAAGAAAAATATTAATCAGTGTGTGTAAAGAGCTTGAGGAAACCACAGTAATGAAATCATTAAAAGGTGGGCTGCTGCCAAGATGATCACATGGCTCTGCAGGCAGTTACTGTTGGTGGTAAGTTTAAAGAGGACTTGGAATACACAATGGAATGTTTTTTAAGAGCCGTTTTTTTTTTTTTAAAGTTGTAGTCTCACTCCGTCGCCCAGACTGGAGTGCAGTGGCTGCTCCCGGCCACCGCAGCCTCACCTGCTCGGCTGCGGCGATCCTTCTGCCTCAGCCTTCCAAGTAGCCAGAATTACAGGCGCGCGCTACCACGCCCGGCTCATTTTGATTTATTGTAGAGATGAGGTCTCGCTGCCCAGGCAGGTCTCGAATCCGCGGGCTCAGGCAATCCACTCACCTCAGCCTCCCAAAGGCGCAGGATTACAGGCTGAGCCACCAAGCCCGGCAAGAGCCGTTTTAAAAAGCCACGTAGGCAACTAACGCTAGCTTCTTTTCACATTTTTTTATTCAAAAGCTCTTCAATTCCTCCTTTGAAAATGAAATAAGCTGTTACATGTATTATATTCTTTTTAATGGTGCATAATACATGGAAAAGAAATAAAAAGCACCAGTTCTTTTCATGGAGCATTAAGCCTAAAGCTTTAATGTGACACCTACCCAAATTAACGGGAAACTGGGGGGAGGAGAGATTTAAGTGAAAAGCAGGGAAGGTAATTAGCTTGTAGGGATATCTGAATAGAAAAACTCAAGTTAAGGCGATACATGTTAAACATAATTTAATTAAAAATAAATTGAGTTCACATGAGTTGAGAAGAGTGCATCCTTCATTGTAAGGTACTAGAAAACAAAAATATGAATAAATGGCTGTCTTTCAGGAATCTGATAAGTGCTTTGAAGGAAAATGTTTAAGGTGTTTTTTTTTAAATTGATACTCTGTGTGTGTTTTAGTAAATCAGTAAGCAAATAATATAAGAACCACACATCATAAACTTCACCTTGTGCATCAGCATCTACTATTTTCCTGGGATAAAGTCAATTTTAACAAATACAACTTAAATCTTTTAAATATGCACCTTTGTATAAAACCACTTGTTACAACTACCAAAGAATAATGAAAATAACAACGCCATTTTGAGCAAACAAAACTTTGAAAGCACAGCAACTAGTAAAAATTAGGTCATCTCTAGCAGAATCCAAAAACACCTATTTTTTTGTGTAATTTTTAAAAAAAGAATTACGCAAAAGCATAGCTTGTGTCTTTTATTCAGAAGAATAAAAACTTTAAGTGAATTCTTTAACTACAATGTTACATGTTACATATATGATGTTATATACGTATATAATGTATATACATATGTATATGTTATATATGTAATTATTTAACACACATCCTCATTAATTTACCACCCAGGCTATCAATCGAGGTTTCTCTAACATAATCTCCAAGTTCCCAAAGTCAATTCCTAACATTTTCACAAACAGCAAAAGCAATCCTCTACCTCCTGGGCCATTCTTCTATTATCAAAGCACCACTGGGAAGAAAATGTTAGTTTTATAACAAATACATAAAGGAATTAAATTAATGAAAAGGTTTAATTCTTTGCTCCCTCTCATCATAAACGTTAAAAAGGTAAGATCTACTTTGTAAATTTGGGCTTCAGTCACTTGGTATTCCCATGAACCTTAAGCATTCACTGAAGAATGAAACTGCGTTGCTATTCTACTTTAATTCCTACTTACTTTTTCATTTTGTGTTTGCATAAATATATGTAATTTGGATAGAACAATACTCAGTGTTCAAAACTCAAAATGCTGGTGTTTATCTGAGAAGTGAAGTCTAAGTGCATATCCAGATCACCTTTCAGGTATTTACAGGATACCATAATATCTAATTGAAAAGTGAACCTCTAACAGCCATTAAAAAAAGTGGTGGCTTTTTAAAAGAAACACTGTTTCAAATTAAATTAAATAACTGATTTATTTCTTATTAAAGTAATTCTTTTTAGTATGATGTGAATTCAGCCTAGGATATAAAATCACTTCACATTTGTTAAAGCCACATTGCCACATACTGATTTTGTAGACTTGTTTTTGGCCTTGCGCTCCTCTAGTTGTTTCATCTCTCAGCTTTCATCACTGACAGGAGTTGCCCTAGCCCCCAGAGCAGTGCTAATGGCAGCTGCAACAGAGCAGCTAAACTTTAAGTTTTAAAAAATGCAATTAATTTACATTTACACTTAATGACTGAAGCATTTTAAAATATTTTTCCACTAAGCACAACATGATAGTTTGGTATAACTACGTTCTTTTATTTTTAAATTATGTAAGATATATGGCAGCATACAGTTGGGCACATGTGTTAGTTCCAGTATTACACAAAATCATAACCATCTAGTTTGTGTCAACAGAATGATTCAAATGATTTTTCTGTGCAACAATGTAGCATTGTAATGTGTTTATTTGAACATTTTATACAGACAGCATGAGCTACAGTGATACTTATGTAGATCATAATTGGTGTCAATGATCTAAATTTGAAGATTCAAGGAGAGAAAAAGCTTATTTGTGACACAGCTAAATAGGTACAAGAATTTATGTTAAAGTTGAAGCCTTTCATAATGCAAATCCATGACGGCACATATTTTCAACATGAATTAGTATGCAGCAGAGATAGTATTATTGTAAATTGACTGTAAAACCTATGAGGAAAATTTGAAGACTACTTTGTTGATACAAACAAACTCAGAGCCAATTTTCAGTTTACATGATGCCCCTTTAGATTTTCTATTGATAAAATTAAGTTATCACAAGACAGTGAATTCACTTGACTTGGACAGATGTTTTGCAGCTGACACGCTTCTCCTTTAAAGTCAAATCAGTTGTTCCAAAAAGATTGATCACTTTTATCAATACAAAAATTAGAGAAAACCTGTTTGGTACTCCATGTACTGGAAAACTTTTAATGTTTGAAATAGTGTGAATTGGCAACCCCTTCAGGTCCCCTTCCACTGTGAGAGCTTTTCTGTCCTCTCAATAAATCCTGCTTTCTAAAAAAAAAGAAATAATGTGAATCTACTTTTTTTTTTTTTGAGTTGGAGTCTCACTCTGTCGCCCAGGCTGGAGTGCAGTGGCACACCCACGGCCATCGCAGCCTCAACTCACTGGTCTCAGGCGATCCTTCCGCCTCAGCCTTCCAAGTAGCTGGAACTACAGGCACTCGCTAACACACCCAACTTATTTTTTTATTTATTGTAGAGACAAAGTCTCATCAAATTATCCGGGCTTGTCTTGAACCCTGAGCTCAGGAAATTCTCTCTCCTTGGCCTCCCAAAATGCTGGGATTACAGGCTTGAGCCACCGCGCCCAGTCTGAATTCATTTACTTTTTTAAGTGCAATTTTTTTTTTTTTTGAGTTGGAGTCTCACTCTGTAGCCCAGACTGGAGTGCAGTGGCCGCTCTTGGCCACTGCAGCCTCGACCTACTGCGCTCTGGCGATCCTTCCACCTCAGCCTTCCAAGTAGCCGGAACTACAGGTGGACACTACCATGCCCGGCTAATTTTTGATTTATTGTAGAGAAGAGGTCTCGCCAAGTTGCCCGGGCTGGTCTCGAAACCACAGATTCAGGTAATCCACTCACCTCAGCTTCCCAAGTGCTGGGATTACAGGCTGGGCCACCATCCCTGCCCTTTTGGTTTTTTTTGAGGAGGAGTCTCACTCTGTCACCCAGGCTCGATTTCAGTAGCATGCTCACACAGCCTCAACCTGCTGGGTTCAGGAGATCCTTTTGCCTCAGCCTTCCAAGTAGCTGGAACTACAGATACACGCCACCACACCCAGCTAATTTTTTATTTATTGTAGAGACGAGGTCTCACCAAGTTGCCCGGGCTGGTCTCAAAGAACTCCTGGGCTCAGGCAATCTTCTCACCTCCACCTCCCAAAGTGCTGGGATTACAGGCATGAGCCACCATGCCCAGTTGCAATTTTTATGAATTTACATATACACCAAATATCTCTGATGAAAATTTAGCATCTGAGTTGAGATGAACTACAAATGTAAAATACACACTAGATTTCAAAGATTTCATATGAAAAAATAATACAAACTATCTCTAACAATTTTTATGTTTATTACATGTTGACATGATATTTTAAATATATTGAGTTAAATAAAATATACAATAAAAGGTTAATTTTGTTTCTATTCGCTTTTTTAATATGGCTACTAGAAAATGACTTGCATTATTTCTCTGTTACATAACACTGCTAATCTAGGGCATCTAAGATACTACCTACCCTACCCCAAAATTCGCTAATACTACCCAGTAGTACAAAGAGGTACAGATATAATTTTATTTAACTGTAAGAACTCAGTTTTATTTTGGCTGGATTTGTTTTCACTGGTTTTTAAAAAGTATTAAGTTTTTACAATTGTGTCTATTTCTCAAGGGCCAATTCTAGGTGTTCTTACAGTAACTAAGAAGGACACATTTTAAGAATATAACTTTTCTACTGTTTGAACTTACCACATGCTATGCAAGTCTTATTCTATTATTATTACTACTACCTTATTTAAGGAAAACACCTGTGTCCGCAGTCAAAACTTCTAAGAGTACCTGGCATGTGGAAAAGGGTTAATAAATAGTTTCCTTTGCTTGTTAACCACCAGCCTCACAGCACACTCCTCTCCAGTTGTCTACATTACCCTGGTTTGACTTCTTCTTCCTCCCTGGTCCAGAAATCAAAAGAAAATAAGCAGCAAAAATGGGAAATATATTAAAATTTAAATGCTGCGTGGTTTCTTTAGTCTTCGGATGAGACACTGCTTTCAAACTGCAAACTCTCCCACTAATAATGGAGTTTAAAAGTCCCCAGGTAGTAGGGAGTGCTGGCTCACGCCTATAATCCCAGTCTGGGCAACTTGGTGAGGCCTCTCTCTACAATAAATCAAAAACCTAGTCAGGCATGGTGGCGTGAGCCTATAGTTCCTGC